TTAGTGGTTTGGTAATTGAAGCTTAATTTGGATATTGGTGGGAGGTTGTTAGCTTGGTTGCAGTTGCCACATTCCTCTTCTGCTCCTGTAGCTATTGGGGGCATATGGTCCAAGTAGGCTAGAATCCTGTACCCATGCATTTGAGTGGTAGTGCTCTCTCTTCTATCCTCCATGTCTTGACATTTTTGACTTGTTTTATGACTCAGATCAAGTACCACTTTCTGCAGGAGACCTTCCAGGGTCCCTTAGTCATTTAAGTATTCTTCTCTAGGGTTTGTCTTCCTTCTATTCTGCATGTTTCTTGTGTAGAGCTTTGAATTTATATATTGCCTCTCCAATGAGTACAGTAAGCTCCCTGAGGATAAGTACTGTGTGTGTGAGCAATGGCTTTCTTTTCTATTCCCAGCACTTAGCACAGGTCCTGGCCTACAGTAAGTATTGTTGATCAGTTGAATGAACGATGGTGGCAGGTCATCCAAGCAGATTCTTACCTCTAAAATCTCTGACTCCCTTTGACAGGAAGTACAGCTCAATAAGAGATACAGAGGGGAGAGAGAGATCAATGTGGATATGGTTTTTAATTTTTTTTTTAAAATGCCATTTCTATATTGTTGAATCTGGGGCAAAGGGCTGAAAGGAACAAACTGGTGGTTCTGTAGAGGAAGTCCCTTTGCTTGGCCACCTTGGTCAAATGATCTATCTCCATTAGGCTTCTGCTTGTGGAACCATTTCAAAACTGCCATGTATGCACCAAAATGCAATTCTTTGAATGATATCAAAGCTATGATTACAAATGTAATCCTTTCAAGTCACTAGCAGCCTCTGATGAAAGTTTTTAAAAAGTCAAAAATCAACTGGAGCAATGTATAACACAAGATGGTATTTATGTTAATGTTAATTAGAAATATATCAATATTTAACATTTTTAAGCAATTAACCTTTCAACTATTGTTTTCTTTCAATTTGTTTGTAGTACTTACACTTTTGAATTTAAAAAAAGCTTATAATTACAGTTTTAGACCAGCGTGTTTTCTGTCCTACTAGATCTGATCTCAATAAGAATCCATATCCTACTCACTTTTCTATCTCTGCTGAGTCCTAGCACAATGACTTGCATATAATATGATCAGTGTTTTTTGAATGGAATAGTATAGATATGTTGACAGTGGGAGAGCTTTCAGTATTTCATTACATATTCTGGTTTTCCTGGGAAGCCTACTCTACTGAACCATTAGTCTGAGAAAATGTTATCCAGAAAGTATGAAATAATGCCCCACATTGGCAGAACTAAAATTTAAGATATATCATTCAAATTGACAAGAAAAATTAGTGGAAAAGAAATGTAGGTAATTAAAATTTCAAGTTATATTTATCTGTAAGTTTGTAGCATTTATATTTCTAAAGTTATTAAAGGTTAAAACTACACTGACTTTTTTTTTACAAAATCCCTAGTACTTTATTTTCAATTCCAACCTGAGATTTCAGAACACTTACCAACTAAAAGACATAAAACAGACACAAATGAGGAATTCACTGGTATCCTTTAAAGAAATATTTCATTATTATTCTTTTCTTAAGTTGCTAAAGGTAGATACGCTTGTCCTTATGTTCCGTCTTTCCACTTTTGGTCCAGTAGGTAAGTCTGGGGTCTGTGTTGTCCTTCTGTGATAAAGACTGGCAAGAGCTACAAAGCCTGATCTGTGGGATTTCATTCACTGAAGTTTAAGGATAAATATAATGAATCCTGAGGAACCAAATCTTTGGAACAATCATGCTTGGCTTTGTAATGTATACATATTTGCAGACCCACACAGCTGCCTAGGGGAGTCAAGCTAGGAAATCTCCAAGGGTTTGCTCCAGGCAAGTGGGAGCCCCATAAGGCCTCATCTTGGAATGCACCATGCCTCTTTAAAGCTCTATCTCCAGACAAGAGGTAACAGGATGAATGTGTCCATCACTCCAGATCTCTGATTATGCGTCACATTTACCATATGAATCACAGAAGTATATGAATGTGCACACTGCACATCCATCTTTTTAGAATGAGCCTCAATGAGAAACCTATGATTGGAGTAAGCCAGAAAATCAAAGATATTTTCCGTTTGAAAGAAAAGATGACAAAATATTGTAAGAGAAGAAATAAAAGATATTCTGTCTCAAGAAATTTATTTCAGCATTAAGTCAGAGTATCAATCAACTGGTTCTAATTTATGTGCGAGAAACTATTTTTTAAATAGCAGCAAGTCTGGATTTTGGGAAAGAATAGCACTTTTTCTCCATTTTCTAAGCTATTGTCAGATACCATTTTGGAACTATTTTATTCCCAGATAATTGAGAAAAGTATAAACATTTCTAATATCTTATTTATTATGGTCTATCAGATATACTTTGCTAATACATGGTGCTAGAACAAGTATTTTCTGCTCAATACACCATACAGTATTAAAAATCTTGTCAAATTTTATAATCATGGCAAATTGCACTAAGACTTTTAAGACAACCTGTATATGTGCATAACTAACCATCCACCTATCAACAAGCATGTATTAGACACCAGCACTATGGCAATCATTGTGCTAGGTTCTAAAAGCCCCGAGATTAAAAGTGAAACAGACTTTGCTACCATAGAGCTTATATTCTGCAAAGGAGAAAATGTGAACATATTTAGATATCTACAAAAGAAGTACAAAAGGAAAAATAAAGCAACAACAACAAACTTAAAATTGAAGAAACACAGTTATGGTGCTTAGGTTCTAACCCTGCTCCTATTCCTCTCCAATACTTCAAAGAGAATAATGTTTTGGCCACTCTTGGGGTGCTATCACTGACCTTCAACTCTAGGACCCCAAATGCTCAATGCCGTTGCTTTTGTGCTCTCCTTTAAGCCAGTCAGTACAAGAAATGAAGTCCTCCACAGAACCAGTCTAGGTTGTTCAGCCCTCAGTCACTAGGTGGAAAAATATGCAAGTGACCCCCAAATCATCTCTCCCATTTCACCTTCTCTGTCTTCTATTGCCAGGATAGGAGAGGGAGACTAGTGATAGGGTTGTCAAAAAAGGAAGGTAAGAAAGAAAAGAGGCTCATTAAAGCACTTTTTAATGTACGAAAAGGAACAGAAGATGGATCAGATGGAAACACATACAAGCAGGACAGATTTGAAAATAATGTGTTGAATTTATTATCTACTTTAATAAAAGCAAGCTGTACATGATAGAGGTTCACTTTTTCATATATAATTCCTTTTTGCTGTTCTACTTTGCATATCAGAATGCTATTTACACAATTCTATTTGTGTAGAACCATTTTAATGGTAACTTAAGATGATTAAGGACTCTTATGAAAACTATCTTCAGTGATATTTTATGAGAAAATGATGTAAAAACAATTATGAAGCATTATGAAGGATATGTGAGGAGGTAGCAGTCCAGTACATTTGGTGAAAGAGTGACTCTTACGTTCATTATTGTGTTTATTAAAGAAAGGCAAAGAGAAAGGCGTAATCCTGAAGAGAAATGTTTTTCAAATGTTTTGTAGACTTTAATCATTGCTCTAGAATTAGTTGAGTAATTTGATTATTAGTTTCCAGAAAAGTTAAGAATAGAGTAATGGTATTCTGAGAGTTTGAGGTGACTTTGTTGATGACATTGGTCATATACTTATAATTATATATGTATGTCTTTATTTTTATTATTGCATTCATTTGTTAACAGCTTTATGTATGGTAATTTTAATATATCTTTGAATATAGAAAAATAAGGATAATTGCTACTAGAAAAGATGGGCTTTCTAATTCATGAAGAGGGAACTTTAGCTAATTATTTAATGAGAAGAGATTGTAATATATTAAAAAGAAATAAATTATCCAATACATTCCTATATCACTACAGAGCTTGGAATTAACAAATTAAACATATAGTAATGAATTGAGTGGCAGACTGAGATTTTGTTAGTTACAGATAGCTTGGTCACAGAACTGTTTTAACCTGCTACATGTTCAAAGGAGGGAAACCTAGAAGAAATTGGAAACTTGTAACATTTCAAAACAATATTTTTGGTAGAACAGCAAATTATAAAGTAGAGTTTTATTCCCCTGTAATAAAGGCTTTTTGTATACACGATAGTTACTTTGTTTTATTAACTGAGGACTAAGATTATGAAGAAAAAAAGCCATGAGAAATAGATTAAGTAATAGCATATTTTCAGCCTGGAGTAGAAAAGGTTTAAGGAAGACATTATTATTGCCTTGAAATATTTGAAGGAGTATCATGTGGAATAGCTGATACTACTGTATGTCTGAAGAGGCAAATTTAATGGCAAACAGTGTAAGTGAAAGGAATTATTTTAAAAATACAATGGATTGCCTTAGAGACAAATTATTCCTTTGGACGCTGGAAGTATTCAAACAGAAACTGATAGAATGATTGCCATCTTAGGGATGATGTAAAAGGGGTGGATAGAATTCTAAGCTCCTTTTAAAACCTAATATTCAGAGCAAATTAAAGCAGTTTTAAAAATTTTATTATTCTTATTTGTGTTTGTGTTTGTGTATGTGTGTTTTCTTTTACAACATGGCTAATATGAAAATTTTTTTGCATGACTTCACATGCATAATTAATATGATATTGCTTGCCTTCTCAAGGGTGAGGGAGGGACAGGACAGACAGAACACAGAACTCAAAATTTTTAAAAATGTGAAAATTTAAAAAATGTAATCAGAAAGCATTTAATGAAATAAGTAATATATATTAAAATCTAATATGTTTAATTATCTAAAATTTTAAAATTATGTAAAAATATTTTAATTATGTAAAAAAGTAAATTATGGTAGTTATAGAGGAGTGTAATAGGAATGAAGAAAAGGGAGATGTCATGAGCTGGGTTAGTTGGAGAGGAAGGTTTTATAGAGGAAGGAGTCCTTGGATTCACCCATAAATGATAAATGGGATATTATGAGGACTTAACCTTTTTTTTTTCTCTTTCAGGTATAACCTTAGCCTACCATGTCGGTTCTCAATAATACCACATCCCTATCCCCAACCTTCCTCCTCACTGCCTTCCCTGAGCTAGAAGGTAATCATATGTGGCTCTCCATACCTTTCTCTTGTCTCTATGCCATTGCCCTCTTGGGAAATAGTATGATCCTTTTTGTGATAATCACTGACAGAAGCCTCCACAAACCCAGGTATTACTTTGTGTCTATGTTGTCAGCTGTTGACCTAGCTTGACTATTACAACCCTTCCCACCATGCTGGGTGTCCTCTGGTTCAATTTGAAAGAGATCAGCTTGAATGCCTGCATCATCCAGATGTTCTTCCTCCATCTCTTCTCTTTTCTGGAGTCCTCTGTGCTTTTAGCCATGGCCTTTGATCGTTTCATGGCCATTTGTGACCCATTAAGGTATGCAGCAATTCTCACTAATTCAACCACCATGCTTATTGGTCTGGTGATCTTTGTGAAGCAAGTGGCCTGCATACTCCCAATAGCCTTGGCCTTGAAGGGATTGTCTTTCCACAGAGGACGTGAGCTCTCCCACCCCTACTGCTACCACCCTGATATGATCAAGCATTCCTGTACCAACCCCTGGTTCAGTAGTCTGATTGGTTTATTTTTTCTACTCTCCCAATCTGGTGTTGACTTGTTCTTTATCTTCCTCTCCTACATCCTGATCCTCCGCACCATCTTGAGCATCACCTCTCCTAAGGAGCGACGAAAGGCCTTCAGTACCTGTGTCTCCCACATTGCTGCTGTTACCATATTTTTTGTGCCCATGATAAGTGTGTCACTTACACACCGTCTATTTGTCACTGCCCCACAGATTATTCCTGTCATTATGTCCAATATCCACCTGTTACTCCCGCCTATCCTGAACCCCATTATCTATAGCTTAAAAACCAAACTGATTCGCCAAGCCCTGCTCAGACTGCTCCAAAGCAAAGAAGCCCTGAGGTGATGTGACTTTGTAGGGACAGTGTGTGTGAGTGAGGAGGGAAAGAGTAAGAACAAGAATATAGGGTTCCTTGTCTTAAACTAAAAGATGCCTCATTGTAGCTTAAATAAACAGCTCATTCTTTGTAAGGTCCTGTCACTGCTTACAATCCCCTTATCCAGGCTAGACTTTTATATGCCACAGATTTTAAAGTAACTTTTGTGTGTGTGTGTGTGTGTGTGTGTGTGTGTGTGTGTGTGTGTGTGTGTGTGTGTGTGTGTGTGTGTCAGCCCTCTGCTTCTAAGCTTGAGTACAGTTAGTACCTAAAATCACAAGGCATGACTTGGGAGAGATACAGAAAAGCACTTCCCAAATTTCTTTATGATGAAGGGTTAGATCCTAAACATGGATTTTTCTTTTCTTTTTAGCAGCATTTGAGCAATACTGAGATATTTTCGCACATTCTAGTTAAGACAGCAAAGTGGTGTTTCTGGCTTTTGCCATTTGATTTCTTGAACACTGTAGTCCAGCTCCAAAAAAATTCAGGTAAAAGGAAGTTTCTGATATTATTGCAGTTTGTATTAACTTAATTTTCAATGCAGGATCTTATGTAGGTGAGGTGAAACAGTTGTTAAATACCACGTGTAAATTAATGAGTGGTCTCTAGCTCTGTGCATCAACTTGTATGTAGCAGGTACGTACACTGGAATGAAAAGCCCCTAGGGGGACAGTCAAACAAAATGTTCCTCGTCCTCAAAGGAAAGAAAATGAATCTTTACAGTTATAATGTTGCTCAGAGTACATACCTTTTAAGTAGAGCATTAGCGGTGTTGAGGCTCTCTGATAGTTTAAGATAATTTACTGTCTATGTAAATTTCAGTAAGGGAGGGGAAACTCCTATTGCTGTAAGTTGTTAAGCCTCTACAGCTTTTCTAACCTGTACTCATTTTGTTATGCACCTTGACACGGTCATAAAAGAACACATTTATTTGCCCTGGAAAATTACAAGACATAGGACAATTATAATATTCTTAGAGACAAACATTATTTATAAATACTTGAAAATTTGCAGGCCTGTTTCAATTATGTTGAACCTGTTTTCCAGACCAAAATGCTTCCCGATTGTGTGTGAAAGTGAATTTTTCCATGTTGTGTATGTTCACCAGTGGCATTTACCACAAAATAAAGAAGTCTCCACAGGGAAAAAATAAAAAAATAAAATAAAATAAAAAATAAACAGCTTATTTATAGTTGATTGATCCTAGCCGCATATTTTAGGTGCAGACCGAATTTGTTTAATCCATCTTCTAAATGAAAATCCTTCAAATACTTGAAGATAAAAATCATGTAGACTTTAAATATTTTAGTATTGCATCATATGCAGGCTAATCATGCAAAGTTCTATGAGTTGATTTTGTAATGGAATTGCTTATGTTCTTCTCCTTTTCCCTCAATGTCTTGTGTTCTGTGTGTTCCAGCTTTATCTTAGTAGATAGACTGCTGGACAGAGTCAGGAAGACCTTGATTTAAGTTCTACCACCACCACTTCCCTGATGACATATGTTATCTGTGTATGAACAAGATACTTAATTTATAAGACAGGTATCAACTGGGTTCCTAGAGGCATCTAGGTGCCAAATTGGATAAATCACTGAGCCTAGGGTCGAAAAATACTAAGTTTAAATCTGTTCCCAGAAGCTTCCTATCTGTGTGACCCTGGAAAATTCACCTAACTGCTGCCTGTCTGTTTCCTTAATTGTAAAATGTGGATAATAGTGCCTACCTCACAGGGTTGTTGTGAGTCTCAAATGAGATATTCCTAAAAGACTTAGCATAGTGCCTCGAGCATAGTAGGTACTTAATAAGTTCTTATTTCCTTCCTCCTTTGTGAAATGGGGACAATAACATCTATGATTCCTATCTTACAGAATTGTTGTGAAATCTTTAGAATAATCTGCAAAATTTAAAGTGTCATATAAATATCTGTCTATCCTGCTCATATCATTGTCAGTAGTCTAACAACTGTTAGAACCGAACTGAACCTTAGAACTGAATGAAATGCTTCATATGTGATCTGCCCAGGGCAGTATTCAATGAGATAATTACATCATTGATTCTGGATATTGGAATGTATCCAATGTAGATGTATGAAATGTAAATGTAGATGAAAAAAAAATTCCTTTTTTTATTTTGGGTTGTCTTCTGCCTTGTCAGCTTGTTGAGTTTCTAGTTTAGATCATTTTTACATGTAAAGCTGTCTAGACATTTCTCCCACCACTTTCACTTATATCATTTTTAACTCAATAATTAATCATTTTAATTTCTTCAATATTTAGGGTCACATGTAGGAATATGCTGGTAAATATTTAACAACTGGCTCTCCAGAAAAAAATGCACATGTCACAGTTTAAAGTTTAATCTGCATTATTTCAACTTTATCCACCACTTTCTTGTCTAAGAAAATCTTAAACTTTCTTAAAAGTCTATACAATCAACAAAACAATAAAATAAGCTGTAATTGTAACATCTGCTATTTTAAGAGGTGTAAATATTCATATTGAAAATTTGGTAAATAACTCCCTAAACTGATAAGAGTTGGATTTATCACATTCTTATCATATGATTTCATTAAAATGGATCCTTTTTCCAATGACATAGGTCAGATTTATTATTTCGTGTTATATTATTGTCATGGTTTAAAAAATAGTGAACATTCTGTGGGAAGGGTAGGGAGAAGATAAGCCTTTTCTTCCATAACTAGGCTAGAATTCAGATGGAAAATATGTAATCTATCATTAATTTTATACTCAGCTCCTTTGTGCCTTTATATAATCTTCCAGGTTTATTTGTCACTCTCATAGCCTTTATCTTCCAAGGCTTTATCCTCCCTCTCCTTCTCGTCTCCCTTTACATTCTCTTTCCCATCTACATGTAAGGGTTCATTTATTACATCCACACAAATTACTCCCACATTCATAAATCCAGTTTTCATTTCTCTCGTACAACTCCAGTCCTACTTGTGTTGAATATTCAGTACTGGAAAAAAAAAACATTAAAAATTTAGGTAGGGGCAGCTAGGTGGTGCAGTGGATAGAGCACCACCCCTGGAGTCAGGAGGACCTGAGTTCAAATGACACTTCAGACACATACTAGCTGTGTGACCTTGTGCAAGCCATTTAACCCCAATTGCCTCAAAAACAGTAACAAACTCAGATAATCACATTTTGGCTTAAATCTTAGCCTTCATTTTTTGGGGTGGCACTGTGCCATATTCCTATTCCTCAGAGTAAAAACCTCATCCTTGACTTTTACCTCTACTTATTGTGTCCTTACTCTAATCAATTGCTAAATATTGTCATTTCTCCATCTATATTTCTCACATCCATTCCAGTCTTTCCAATCACACAACTATCATCCTAGTTTAGGATCTCATAATCTGTCTCCTGTACTGTTTTAATAAATCATTAATTATTCTTTCTGCCTCCAACCTTTCACTTCTCAAATCCATAATTCTCAGAACTACCAAAATAACATTCCTAAAACATATGTCTGACCTTGTTACACATACCCATCCCTTAAAAAACAAAACAAAACAAAACAACAACAATCTTGAATGACCTATGCTTCCTTTAGGATGAAATACACATTTCTTATATTAGCACTTAACCTCCACAATCAAATTATAAACTACCTGTCCTTCTCTATTTCACACACCTCCATTTCATACATTCACTGTCCCTGTGCCTCTCCCTTCGGTTGTATGGCTCTTCCTAGAATCTCTATTTAAGAAAGAGAGTGGTCTTCCAGGAGTCAAGCAGTAGAGTAAGCAGTAAGTTGTTGGCACTCTTCCTTATTGACCTTGAAAAACCCGGACAATACCGCCCCAGGAAAAATTCTGAGACAGTGCAGCCAGCAGAAAGATGAGAACACAGGTTTTTAGCTCATGAGGTTAGCGGGATTAATAGGAAGGGTCCCTATGGCTGTGGCTGAAGGGAACCAGTGGATGAGAGGCACCCCAGCAAGCCAGTAGCAAGCCTCACCTCAACAAGCCAGCACGAGATGCTGAGCCCTAGAAAGGTGGAGTGGGCAAGCATCAACACCATGACACCCCCACCCCTGTGTCACATGACTTGGCACAGCCAGAGGAACTGGCAGACACCAGCACAGAGAACCACCAATTGTGTGGAAGATGGGTGTCCACCAGCAGCAGAGCCTACGTGTGCTCTAGCACAGCCCCAGGTGAGGAGGCGACCTCCAGCAGCCAGAACACCCACACCCCACACCTCACCCAGCAAGCTTCAGAGTAACCCCGAAAACCACAGAAAAACCCCACCTGCCCTTGACCAACACCAGCTACTACCACCAGCTCCAGCTCAGCACCAAGTAAACTCTGCAGTCTCCAGCTGTCAAAACCTGAGGACCCAGCACAAAAAGCTATTAGCCAGATCCCTAGTCCATAGCACAAGAAGTGTGGGACAGTGCCCCCTGTGCCCCAGAAGCAGAGATTAACTTTAAAAGGGAGGAAAAAGACAAACCCCATGAGCAAAAAGCAACATGGAAAACAAAGACCACAGATTCTTACTATGGGGACAGGTAAGATCAAAACACAAATTCAGAAGTGGACAGCATTGTCAATATGGGAATATGAACTAGTCTGAAGCCCTTGTAAAAGCTCAAGAAGGGGTAGCAATCCTGATCTCAGACAAGGCAAAAGCAAAAATAGATCTAATTAAAAAAGCTAAGGAAGGAAACAATATCCTGCTAAAAGGAACCATAGACAATGAAGTAATATCATTACTAAAAATATATGCACCAAGCGGTCTAGCATCCATATTCTTGGAGGAGAAGTTAAGAGAGTTATGGGAAGAAATAGACAGCAAAACTATACTAGTGGGGGACCTTAACCACCCAATATGGTACTATAAACATTGGCTTTAGCTTGTAGTAATCACCTCTTCTCTTTCTAAATGCTCATAAAAAATCCTTTTAATAATTGATTGTGGAGGTGGAGACAAGATGGTGGA